AGATGGAGCTGGGTGGGGGAGGCCCCTGTATAATAAGAAAAGATCACTGGAAGGAACCCAGAAGCCTGAATTCCTTTTCATGTGGATAAGGAAACTGATGTCTGGAGAAGTGGTTTGACCAAGGGCTGATGTCTGAGAAGTGGCAGAGGGAAGACTTGAACCCAAGTCACTGTCTCTCGTGCCATGATAGTGCATGCTGGGAAACGTGGGCTCCGGGGCACCTGGGTGGCTTAGTCAGTTAAGCGTCCAACTCTTGGTTTCGGCTCAGGTTGTGATCTCAGGGTCATGAGATCGAGCCCTTTGTTGGGCTCCATGTTCAGTGCGGAGTCTACTTGAGATTCTCTCTCCCTTTCCCCCTCCCTGTGTACATGCAGGTGAACTCACACTTTCTCTCTAAAAATAAATAAATCTTAAAAAAAAAGAAAGAAAGAAAATGTGGGCTCCAAAGTGGTAGAGTAGGGTTTGAATCCCAGCTCTGCAATTTGTTAACTATGTGACTTTGGGCAGGTTGCTTAACGTCTCTGAGCCTCTGTTTCCTCACCTGTAAAATGGAGTTAATACTGACCTCATGAGGTTATCCTAAGGATTATAACAAGTTATTTGTGAGTGAAACACCACTCAATATTTCCATCAGAACTAGTTAGTACACACACACTAAAACACATGTGTAGCTGAAATAAAAGCTTAATGGAATATATACCCTTACTATATATGATATACTCCATTTCTGATTTCAGTTTTTAATAAAGCTGGTTGTGATCCCCAAAACTGATTTCATGACCTCTGGCCTAAAGGAAAATAAGGCCCAGTGCTACAAACATGTATCATAGACCTGTTTTTCCTCTTAATGTCACTCCAGTGCTCCTCAGGTCAGGCTGTGGGCAGGCACTCAGACCGGGAAGGGCTGCAGGTGGGGGTTCCTAATGCCCCCACAGCCTTGGAGACTAGGTCAGGTCACTGCTCATCCAGAGCTTCCTCCTGGCCCTGCTAGACTCTGTGCTTCTTGAGGGTGTTGCCTCCAGACTGGCACAGTGCCCAGACCAGAGCGGTGTGACCAGCGTGCCTTCGCAGGGGCACAGGTGCTGTCCTGGGCCCTCCAGCTTCCTGGTTGGTAGAGCGGGCCTGGTGATAAAGCGTCTGCCTCCCGAGACTCTGGTAGGCCTGAGTGGGCTCAGCGGTGAGGTGCCTAGAAGACCGCTCGCCAAGGCCCGTGAGCCTGCAAGTGAGGGTGCCATTGTGGAGAATAGCTTCAGTTCACTCTTGATTTTTTAAAAATGACAATTTGCAAAATTAGTGACGGATTACTTGCCTAAGGACTTTGAGCTGAACTCAGCAGGTCAGTGTTTTGTGGCCCTGGGTGGAGAGTTGCTGCCTTAGAACACAGGAAGCCTCTGTCCTGTCCTTGGGAAGAAAGCTTTATAAAAGTGCTTAGAAAACGGCAGAAGGGGTACCTGGGTGGTTCAGTCATTATGCGTCTGCCTCGGCTCAGGTAATGATCCCAGGGTTCTGGGATCGAGCCCTGCATCGGGCTCCCTGCTCCGCGGGAAGCCTATTCTCCCTCTCCCACTCCCCCTGCTTGTGTTCCCTCTCTCGCTGTGTCTCTCTCTGTCAAAAAAAATAAATAAAATCTTAAAAAAAAAGAAAAGAAAAAGGCAGAAATCCCTGCCGCCGACTGTAGGTATTCCTGACCGTAACCAGGGCCTGGAAAGGCATTGATCAGAGTCAGAGGAGCCGGGGGCCAGGGACGGGGGCAGGATTGTTCCCAAAATCTGTAGAGGAAGCTTTGGTTTATTCACTCGTTTGGTCAGTTACATAAAAAGTGCTGATGTTTTCTGCCCTGGCTGACCCACTCACCTGCCTCTGGTCTGCTGCTCTGTGCACCATGCCCACGCGTGCTGTCTGTGCTCCTACAAGGAGGACGGGGGCTTTTGTGAGGGGGGGCGTGGGGGTTAACTCTTAAAATTGCTGCATGTTAGGGCACCTGGGTGGCTCAGATGGTTAGGCGTCTGCCTTCGGCTCAGGTCATGATCTCAGGGTCCTGGGATCGAGTCCCGCATTGGGCTCCCTGCTCAGCAGGGAGCCTGCTTCTCCCTCTCCTTCTGCTCCCCCTGCTTGTGCTCTCTCACTCTCTCTGTCAAATAAATAAATAAAATCTTAAAAAAAATTTAAAATTGATGCATGTTATAAAGTTGGGTATGTTCCTTGGTGATATTTTGTAGCATTTCTTTAGGGGAAGAAAGAGGAAGACATTTTTCTCCTCGCTAGTGGGGAAGAATGTGTCCAGTGCCTTATTTTTTTTTTTTTTTGAAGATCATTATTGAAATTGGCAGAGTATTACTCTTTAGAAAAAATTTCTCATATTGTAGCATGAGTCTTTTCTATGGGAAGCTCATTTTCCCCTAGCCCAGACGGCTTCCCATTATGTGGTGTGCCAGGTAAACGAGAACCACACCTGTGTGTGTGTGTGTCTGTGTGTCTGTGTGTCTGTGTGTATGTGCGCTCGCGCATGTGTGTGCAGGAATGGAGCTGGGGTGAACTTCTGAGGGGAAATGAAGCATTGTGGGCCAGCATGCACCATTAACGGGAAATAGGACTGATTGTATGCAGCATTTTGCCTTTTTTACAGTAAAATGACTGTAGTTACCATGGAATTGAACTTGATAGGTCCCCATATGCCTCCCTTGTCGGACCCCTCTTCATTGTGAAGACTGAGGGGAGGCTCCCTGTTAGTGGAGTGGACGTTACCCATCCCCCGTGTGAGTGCCCGATATAACTGTTGGTTTTCACTTGTAGGCATCAAATGGGGCCTTTTCCGCAGGGACTGAAACTTTAATAAATCACACGTTTCAGCCTGCAGCTTCAGCATTTGCACAGAGGAAGAGTGCAAGAGTGCTTCCTAAGAGTCCACCAACTCCGAGTTGAGTCTGGGTTGGAATTTGATGTCTTTCGGTGTCGTGGCTCTCAGCAGTCCGTCTCTCGGCGGGATGCTGGTGTGTGCGCTTCGACTTTTGCTCTTTTCAAGCCCCTCCCCTTACCAGCGAGGCAGTGGGCACCTGTGACACGTACCTTACCAACAAAAAGGAATTGCCCTTTTTTGTGTGACAAGCACAAAATTTCAAGTGGCTTTCGACCAAGAGCCTTTTGAATGTTCTCCTGAATCTCATGAAGTTCTTTACAATAGCGTTGCCCTTTACCCTATTTCTGTAGCTTTTCTGGCCAAAATATCTGAAGATCATCAGCCTTTTGACATCTCTTACCAAACAGCACAGTGGGCCAGGAGCCAAGGTCTGGCCGTGTTGCCCTGTTTGGGGACCAGATACCTCTGTGTTCTTGGCATGTCAAGGCATTTCAGTCTTTAGTCTCTCCATCTTCAGTGTATTCTTGACCCCCCCGAGAGGCATTCTGAAAGTGAGCAGGGAGACTGAGCTGGGCCCTTGAGTAGGGACAGCTAACCAAACTCAAGGGCACTCTTGTAGACATCCTTCTTCAGCCTGTATTTTTCATACCCACTGCCTTAGATGGTGAAGAGTCCTCTCAGGTGCGCACCATCCAGGGACTGAGTATGTGACGAGGACTCCTTGCCCAAGGTTGTAATTGAACAGTCTTCACGTGGGATGGGAATCCTGAGCACCACCTATCCCAAGTGAGCATTTGTCACATTCTAACTGGAAAGGCAAAAAGAAAATTTGAAGATTCAATAAAAAACAATTCTCTTATCCCTGAGATAAGCAGATTAATAGTATATAATGTCGATATTTTGGCTGCAAACCATTATCTTGCTATTGATCCGGAAGAAATATGGTACTGACTCCGTAGCCTCGTTTACTTTTTGCTAGCATTGTTTCTTTATACTCTTTCTTCTTCTTTTAAAATACCATGATCTGGTTTCTTTTCCTTTGTCGTCTTAGGACCAGTTCCTGTCCAGTCAGAAGGACAGGGTTAAGTTTAGGCAGAAAGAAGAGCGGTTGGGAGTCGTAGATTTCAGATGTCAGACCATTCCACTCTTTGTTTGGAAGCTGATGTGCTTGACCCTTCCCCACTGATCTCCTGTCTGTCCTCCTTCTGACTTTCCCCAGAGACATATTTTTGAATGCTCTGGTTAGCACATTGCAAGGTCCATTCAGTTCCTCGGAATATGTTTAGGATTTATACTTTTTCATTGTCTGCTGACTGTTTCCTGGGCTGCATTTTCCAAAAGAGAAACAGCACAGAATCCTTTTTGCTGATGGCTGGTGAGGGAGACGCTCATCAATAGCTGAAAGAGGAGAAACTGGAACAAAAAGCGTAGCTAAAGTGGTTTTGTGGGAATGTGATTACAGAGTTGGTTTTCATAGTAAGAGGCTGTTTGGCACTGTTGTCTCTGTGAAATGGGCTTGAAAGGCACTTGCTCATTCCTAGCGTCCACTGCATATGGGCTGCTGTGATGGGTCAGCGAAGAGGCCCAAGGAAGGAAGATGCCAGATCCTCTCCTTGAGATGTTTATGTTCTTGGGAGGGAAGGGAGAATTGGGGGGGGGGGGGTGTTGCCCCGTGGCCGGCAGGAACATATGTGCATGTTCTTAGTGACCACAGCTGCCACGGAGCTGTCCTTAACAATGCTCCCAGGCTAGGAGGTTAAACCTTCTCATTTGTTTGAGAAAGAGGGAACCCTCACTATCTTTACATTGAGTCTGGATTCAGAGCAGGAGGGAGGTGGGAAGGGAGAGGGATTTAGGCAGGCAGGATTTTCTCCCAGGCCTCTCAGCATGCGGACACGCAGATCAATTTCTTACCCTGCGTTCAGCTGGACACTGGGTTAGAGACTGTGTTGATCAAGACGTCCCCTCCTGTTTCATATCATGTAACGCATTCATTGCAGCCACTGAGCCTAAATTACTGTTTGCTTTCTTTCTGCCTTTCTTCCCCCCACCCTCCCCGAAATGGTAAGAACTCGTGTAAGGATAGAGTTAGTTTATCCGAGCTAATGCTTTGATTTTTCTTTTCTCTTTCTCTTTGCCACAGTAGGTAACCAGTTAGGGGCCTTGGTACATCAAAGGTAAGCAGTGGGTTATGTTTTATTATTTATTGATCATTTCTAATTGTTTATTGATTCACCATCTGTACTAGAGTGTTAGAAAGTCAGAGGTTGAGAATGGGAAAACCAGGGGCTAGATTTCTTTAAGACTCAAGTTTTTTGTAGTCCTTCCCAAGACAGAGAAAGCTCAAAGGATAAACGAACAGGAGGTATTAAAAATCAGCCATTATCGTATGTAAACTTAACAGATCTCTGGAGTGTGGGAGCTGCTCTTTTCTCTCCACATACATCTAATCTAAAGAGAGAAATTTTCCATCCTGAGTTGATGGCTTCCCCAGTGTTTTATGAATCCTTAATGCCTTCATTTGAGCAAAGTCGTCCCCAAGAAGTGTGCATCGTTGGGCTTTCACAAGATAAAGTTTGTGATTCTCAAGGAGTCGTGGGCCTAGGCGGCCAGAAGCCCGGGCTCCAGCTCATGCCCTTGAGGAGGGACTTGCCAGAGAACCTTGGAGAAAGGCCTAGTTGTTTCCCTGCCTCAGTTTACCCTCATAGCCTTCCCTTAAATATTGAGGATTTAGATACAGAGACGTCTGGGCTTTAAAAAGACCAGTCTGTAAGATAGGATATTTGTGGTCACAATGTTATCCTTCAAAAAGAATAAAATATGCAGGAAACTGCCACAGTTTCTCTTCCCTCATGGATGACATTCTATGGTGTGCATCCGGTACTATAACATATTATCCTTAATCTTCACCAGCAATGATACAATTATATGCTCTTGTGTTCTACACAGATGTTTGGGAGTTTCTAGAAATCATGAGGCCTCAGTTAACCAAAAGATTTAACCTGGGTTTTGTTGTGTTATTGGTTTGCTTTGTTTTTTAATGAATTAGAATAATTTAAATGATGTTGCTGTTAGTATCAAACATAATTTTTCTATAAAGCCGTAATTAAGATTTTACTTTCCCAAGAATGTTCATACTTTGTTCATTCGACAAGTTTCAGCCTCGCAATCAGAATGGAGTTTTGTCTTCCAGGGGGCCCAGAGCAGCTCATCTTCATACATTCCTTCCTCAAAGAGAGTCTGCTCCTGCCGTTCCTGAGGGCTGAGGAACTGCCTGAGTTGTGTGGCAGTTTGTATTGTGATCGTTTTGAGCGGCTTCTAGTAAATTCCCCAGTAACACTTGCTGAGAACAGACGGTGCTACACACGGGAGCCGCAGTCCTGTGGCTGCACGCACGGGAGCACCGTGACCCTTCGCCACGGCCGGGAAACACTCCCTACAGGGACCCCGCGCCCTGTCCGGATGTGTCGGGCCCGCAGCGTTCCTGATTTAGGACGTTGGAATTGCCTCATTTGGGGGCGAACTCAAATATCCCAAGACGTAGGGAGGATCTCTGCACATGTATAAAGCGGGGGAGGTAAACTCGGGCAGAAGACGGTCTGCTCTCCTCAGACTGATGGAGTGGCGAATGCTGTTGATGATGCCGTCTTTCTCCTGTGTGCCCCGCTGTCCCTAAAAACGTGCACTTGATTCGATCTTCTCCATGATGGGTAAAAATCCAGCTGTGTGAGAGATGTTTAAAAATGCTTACCTTTTTTTCTTTTTAAACTACTTGCATTGAGCTTCCTCCTAAGGTAAATGTTTAGATTTAATTGCTTTCTGGGGCGTTGGGCAAATTAGATATTGTCCACAGTATACTCTGTGGCAAATCTGAAGGTTTGTTTGAAAGAACCAGTGCAGTAGTCATTTAAAAAAAAAAACAAAAAAAACCCACCCAACACGTAATGGATGGGATAGCATTTAACGAAAGTACCTTGCAGAGTAAGTGAGGTGATTATCCCTGTCCTGGTCAACACTGATTAGGCCTCTGCTGGATACTGGTTCCATTTGGAGCATCTCACCCGAAACAACAGATAAATTAGAGGGAGGCCAGAAAGCAATAAAAAGATGGGGAAACGAGGAATGCTGAAGAGAAATTCAACATTGCTGTCTGTATCTAGCAACGAGACCGGAAGAGGAGTCTAAACTAACTTCACAAGCCTCGGAGAGTCTTTTAAGTGTTAAGCAATACCAAGAAGAAAAGGCATTTGTTAGTAGAGTTGATGGTTTAATGAAAAATCAGAGGTTTCTTCCTCTGACACAGCGAGAGAGGAGGCTTGGATCTTTTCGAGAAGGGATTGACCAAAGGGCCCGTTAGATGACTCTCTTTCTTGAGGGCTGGGGACTTGTTGGCCGAACTGGCATGATTCATTTTAAGTCTCTGTCTTCCAGCATTGCCAACATGGGAAATTTGGGGAACCTGACATGGCCGTGAAATTCTTTTTATGTTTTTCCAAAATGTTCTTTGTTTTTAGGGCAGTAATAACAGAAGAATTCAAAGTGCCTGATAAAATGGTTGGATTTAGTAAGTATCCACATTATCTACTTTCCCCTGATGAATCTCTCAGTGTAACTGTCGCTGTGGTAGAATGCTTTGCACACTGTGTCCCCCAGAGCCCCAAAGGGCTGCAGGGCTCTCTCCAGGCTGAGAGATAGAGACCCACGCGTCTGCCTCCCCCAATCTCTCTCCCCACCCCACCTCTCTCCTCACTTCAGCTGGAGTACCCTGTACCTGTCCGCTGTGTTTCACATGTGATTTCCGTGGCTCGCTGAGGCCACCCTGCTTTGCAGTGCCGCGAGCCAAGTGTAAATGTTTGCTGAATTAATTAAGCCATTCATGCATGGTCAAATATGGAACGGAGTAATGTTCTGACCCTGTTCCATTTGTTTCAGTTATCGGCAGGGGAGGTGAGCAGATTTCACGGATTCAAGCAGAATCTGGTTGCAAAATTCAGATTGCTTCAGGTAAGGCTTCTTTTTTCCTAGATCTCCGTTTGGTAGAAATCAGTGTTTTGTCCAGTTTTCCAGATTCATTACCTTTGCTCGTTGCTTAGAAGTTTAGGGGCCTGGGTAAGTATGTGCGATTGCTGTTTTCCTTGTGCTTTTAGAGCTGGACTCAGATGAGAACCAGAAAAACCAGGGCAAAAGCGGGCCCGGAGATGAGGCCGCCCGTCTGGCCTCTGGAGGAGGCCCTCTGTAGTTCTGTGGCTCCGCGTGACCCCTGCCAGATACCTGTTGCTCTGGGAACTCCGTTTTCTGTACCAGGGTGTTATGCCAGACAGTGGGGCCTAGAGGAGTGCTGTGGCTTTGGGGTCATTCCTGGGGACTGCTCACTGGCTCCCCAGGATTAGACCACCTCTCCCTACCCCTCGTTGTGGAAAGAGGCCAAGGCCAGCTAGGGGGTTCTGGCTAAATGAGCACCCGTAAAACACAGTTCAGGACCTTTCCCAGCTGGGTCCGTTTTGACCATGAATTATGGAGAGAGGTTGAGGAAAAGAAGCATTCTTACGAAGAGTTCGAACAACTCGTTTGAGTTTGGTCTCTTTCCATAGTGCAGGAGGGGGCGTGGAGGACTGTTGACCAGAGAGGCATTTGTCTGTTTAAAAGATACACGTTACAATGTCTCGAAGGCAGTAACTGCTGTCAGTTATTTGTCTTTTTTTTTTTGGAGTTAAAGAATTTTAAGGGGCAAGTTTTTTAGGAACAAAGTAAAGCGTCGTGTGGTGTTGGAAAGCAAGCTTCTCCTCTCTTGTCAAATCGCCCGGAACTATTTCCACATAGATATCACTGCTCTCTTGGGAGATTCATGCACTACCCGGTAATAGGCCTGATGTGCATCTACCATTAAATTGCTCACTGGTGTGCAAGCAGGTGACCTTACCCCACTCTGCAGGCGGAGAAACTGAGGAAGAGCGGGTGACGCGACTCAGGCACTTCTTAGCACACAAATGGGTCAGAAATGAAGCTGAGACTCCCAATCAGGACCCACTCTGAGGGCTCCGCAGCGTCCTGCCCGCCCCCCCTGCAGAACTTGTTTCTACTTTGAGCGTTTAGGGTGGAGCTACCAGCCTCCTGTTCTCTCCACAAGGGGAAGCAAACTGTCTTTCCCGGGGCCTGGGCTTCTGTGGGGCCGCTGTAGGAGCGGCCCAGAGAGACATGGGTGCACGGTAGCCTGACGCCCACCAACACACCTCATCTTCTTGATTCTTCTTATAGAGAGTTCTGGGATTCCAGAGAGGCCCTGTGTACTTACCGGAACCCCAGAAAGTATTGAGTAAGTTTATTTTATTTACTTTTTCCTGTCACTCTTCTTCCTCCTTCCCCACATGGGGAGACATGGAAGGGCAAAACTGTCACTGAACACTGTGGATCTCTGCCGCAGCCTGGCCACGAAAGCAGATGCTTCTGTGGAGAAGGATCTGGGAGGTGGCCACGCCAGGGGAGTTTGCTGTTACTTAAAACACATGAGGTATCACCTTTTTTTTTTTCCCAAACCCTACAGAATTTCTGGCAGCCGTCATAACATCCACTTCATACACCAGGTTCTTTAAAGAGCGTGCGTTCGCCCTGCCTGAAGGCTCTCATCAGCTTTTACTTCTTCCTTGGTGACACTTCCTTTCCCTGAGCAGGTCTGCCTTCGTGAGCCTGTCACTTGGTGAACCATTGAGAATCCTGGTACCAGGTCTTTTGCCTGGGGCTGATCCCATTGCCCTTTTGACATCCATGAACCAAATGAATTGACTCTTCGTGGCCATTGCTCCTCTCGGAGGGCTGTATGGACCGGTCAGAGGGTGTCCTGACTGTGGGGGGCCCTTGCAACCACCTTATGGCTGGCATTGCTTTCTGACCGTGGGACACCCGTGCCCAGAGCCTTGAACCACCAGAGGCAGGCCTTGTCGATCCACGAACCTCCTGGGGAACAGGGATGTACTAACTTAGAGTCTGCTCGCTCTCCCTTTTCAGTCGACTGAGTAGCGTTGTATTTGGGGACAGGGGTGCTAAGATTCTCTCTGGCTCAGTAGATAGGGCTGTTTTACTGTTTCCATTTCTCCGGGAGTCCAGATGAGTTTAAATTTTCTTGTTCTGCCGCAACATTGCAAGCAGTGAACCAGAATAAGTATCACTGGCAGGGGTGCGTTATAGGCCAAGGGGGGTGGGTTTGCTAGAGTCGAGGCATTTTTCTTCCAACACAGGGTAATTTAGTACACAAGCAAAATATTAAAAAGCTGGTGTCGCTGAGAAGACTGGCCAGGCCGATTCTGTACCCAGAGAGGCTCAAGACGATGAAAGGCAACATCTGTTTCCTCCCTTTCTCTCTTCTTTCCTCTGCTCTTCTAACCATTCCTGCTTCCTCTTCTACCCGGGCAGTCGGGCAACGGGATTGTAACTTTAGGAGGAAACAGTTTCATTTTCTTCTTCGGGTGCTGCATAGTAGCAGAATTCTTCCCTATCCGAGGAGCCAAAAAACAGACCATACATGGTGATTTAAAGAACAAATACCGCAAACCAGACCAGCCAGGGGAGCTTCTGGTGCTGAAAACGCAATTGCCCCAACAGGTGGCCTGGGGGGCTGGGCTGGGCGTGCTATGTCGACAAGGCAGTGTCCCTCCCCAGCCTCCGAGTCCCCCGGCACCAGACAGCATCACAGGGGAAGCGGGGGGCCTGGAGATCCGAGCGGACAGGCATGGAGCCGGCGTCTGTGGCTCTGCAGCTGCCCCAGGCCCCTGCCTCCTCTTCCCACCCCTGGAGACCACACTGGCGATCCATTGCCTGAGCTCAAAAGCCGGAGAGCAGGTTGGCTAGGGAGAAGAGATTTGGAGTCTGGGAATTCAGATGGTGACTACTAACCCTCGCTTTCTTTCTTCCCACCTCTCTCGTTGCTCTCTCCTGCCCGTATTTAACGAGTGTCTCTTGAGTGTCTCCTCTGTGGGAAGCATTATGGCGGACTGGGGACCAGGGAAAGGTGCAGAGGGATCAGAGGTGGTCTCCGCCACCGTAGCGGCTGACGGTTGTGATAGGAGACAAGACACGTTGGTGATGGGAACGCCAGACATCCTCAGGAGCAGAGGGCAGGCCGGACAGGGCTGTGTTGGAATGTTGGCGTGCGGTGTGTGTTGCTTTTAAATTCCAGCCCGGTAGCGTGGCGGATGGCAGAGACCTCCCGGGTTGTGGGGGCAGGAGCTGGAGCTGGATGGAGGGCTGCCTTGACTCCTTCGTGGTCCTCCCCCGGTGCTGTTTCCCTCCCATGGGCGCCCAGCACGTTCATTTAATGTTCCTTCTCTTGTGATTCTTTTCCCTCCCAAAGACAAGCCAAACGGCTCCTGGGGCAGATCGTGGACCGCTGTCGGAACGGACCTGGCTTTCATAACGACATAGACGGCAATAGCACGATCCAGGAAATTCTTATCCCTGCGTCTAAAGTGGGTCTGGTCATCGGCAAAGGAGGGGAAACAATCAAGCAGTTGCAGGTATGTGAGCCCTTAGCAGAGTGGCGCTTCAACGGGCCTTCTGGGATTGGGGGGGGAGGGCTGGTCCTAACTCGGATTCCCCCCGCTGGGCTGGCTGTACACCCCTTGGTGCAGAGCTTCCCAGCACCCTCTGGTGCCACAGATCCTCTGTTGGACAGATGCTTTATGAACAGGTACCGCGGCAGGTATGATGCCAAGTCCCGCGGCCCGCTGAGGCAGTGATGCTCTGTGAGGGTTGCTTTTACCACCAGGTGACAACATCTCAGATGAAAGTACCGTGTCCAGAGCTGGGGCTCTTAGCCAGCCGTACGCCCCCACGCTAGCTGTGGGATCTTAAATACGTTTGAGTATTTCTCGAGGGCTCGGAGCCCTGTCGGCCTCACTGCTGTCATGAGGCTGAAATGATACTCTTGATTTTATCTTTACCTAAGATCCTTCGCACAGAGCCCGTTACTGAGTAAATGCTCCCCAGACATTAGCTGCTATTGTTCCACAATCCCTCGTGTGAGACACGGGGAGCTAGACGTGTTTCAGAATTGAACACCCCTGGCAAGTTCCGGGGCGCACCCCGTAATCAGATGCCTGTTGGCCTAGTCAAATGCAATGACAGTCACACTCAGTGAGAGTCGGGCTATAGACACACTCCCGAGAGTTCACGTTAGTTTTGCTGCCAAATGAGTTATGCTCAAACTTTTTTTTTTTTAAAGATTTTATTTATTTATTTGACAGAGAGAGACACAGCGAGAGAGGGAACACAAGCAGGGGGAGTGGGAGAGGGAGAAG